ACTACTTTAAACAAAGCATAAGAATCCGAAAATAGAATTCCACCTCGCTCCTCCCGACCCTTTTGCTGTTGTCACCACACACACATTCCGCTGTCATGTCATAAATTCCATGATGTACCGTTATTACTGTTGTTCAATTATCTTTTAAGAGATTTAAAAAGCAAGAAAAATTCACATATTTATCAATCACTCTGGAGTTTCTCATTCCATTTTGCACATCGATGTTCCCTTCTGATTTTATTTTTCCACAGTCTAAAGGACTTTTATATCACTTTTACAGCAGTAGGAACTCCTGGTGATGAAGGCTTTTACGCCTTTAGATGGCTTTTTTTGGATTCCATTTTTTTTTTTTTTTTTTTTAGGTGCCGGGGATCAAACTCAGGACCTTGTGCTTGTGAGGCAGGCAGTGGCACCTGAGCTAAATCCTGGCCTCTCCATTTTTGAAAGATACAGTGGGTAAAGAATTTCAGTTCGATGGTTTTTTGTTGTGGTGTTAGTGGTATGAGATGGGACTCAGGGCCTCATATATGCTTAGATGTTTGGATTTTAATATAAAGTGTCCCTCCAAAACTCATGTATTGAAGGCTTGATTTCCACAGTAGCTGTGTTCGAGGTAGGGCCAGAGAGCTGATTGAATGGTGAGGGTGCCAACCTTATCAATGGATTAATCTACTGACGAATTCACAGATAAATGGGCTTTTAGGAGGTCAGCCTGATTAGAGGAAGCAGGTCACCGGGGATCCTTTCCTTTCTCTCTGCTTCCTGGCTCATGAGCTGAGCAGCTTTTCTCTGCCATGATGTTTCTGCCTTGCCACAGGTAATAGAGACAGCTGGCCATGAACTGAAACCTCTGAAACTGTGAGCCAAAACAAGCCTTTCTTGCTTTAAATTGTTATTCTTAAGTTTTTGTCACAGCAACAAAAAGCTATCACCTGGGTAAGTGTTCTACCACTGAGCTGCACACCCAATCCTTTTAATTATTTCCTTTTTTTTTTTTTTTTTTTT